ATAAATTTTAACTGGAATCCTATTAAGTGTGAGACAACCAGCCCTGAGGTGTTATTCTGTCAGAATTGCTTCTAGACAGCAGTGACCCTGTCAGCAATCAATAACAAATGAGAAGTATTGTGTCACCAATCCATACAACCCAAATATTTCTACCAGCAGAGTGCTCTGCTATACCCAATACCTGGTTCTTCTACCCCAGAAAACTGTTCTCCTCTGCAGGGACTTTGCTCACAAACACAAAAATATTTCTTCATGTTTTTCTCTTTTCAATTCCTAGGCAGCAATTCGGAAAGAGCTGAATGAATACAAAAGTAATGAAATGGAGGTTCATGCATCGAGCAAACATTTGACAAGGTCAGTTTAACAGCTCTTCATTTCTGCTGCCTGCTAAAAACTTTGCTTTAGTCCCAAACCTGTGGATTTTACCCTTACATGCTGGATATGGGAGAATATGCAAAGAGAGGTTAATATTAAAAGAAAATTGGAGCGTTTCTCTTCCTGAAGAGAACCCAATTTTCTGATTTTTTGGGGGGCTTTTATTAGCACATACCAAGAAACCTGCAGGCATTCTCCAGAGCACCCCTCAGGTGGCATTCCTTGCACCAAATATTCAAAGATAGGACAAAAAAAACCCAAGTATATAACACAGGAAACAATATGATTTTTAAAAGTAGAACAACTTAATACACTGTATATAGATCTCTGAATTAAATGTACCTGAGTCTGCAGCCTTATCACAAACAGTGAAAATTCCCTGCTCAGAAATACAAAACTACACTGACCATAACAGGCCAGTGCCCAGGGGTAATGCCTTTGTGCTAATTGGATTTGTTCTAAATTATTCAGCCTGGGGATTTCAGTATTCCTGGTGAGTGCAGTTGCTATTGGAAGGAGCAAGCCCCAGGTAACTTAATGACACTTAACTCCCTGTCAGGAGGAGGTCAGGGGAGAGAACAGGTCTGGGTTGTTGTCACTTCCAACGCGATTGGGCCACTGGGAACCTGGGCAGGGCAGTGGCTGCTCCATGTGCCAGCACTGGTGACACAGGGGCTGTGTTTAAACACACATAAAAACATTCGTTTCCCTCCTTTAAGTGGAGAAACAAAATGAGAGGTTGATTCCCTAGCCACTGATAGTTGCAGGAAGGCATCATTAAGGGCAAAGCAGCTTCACTGCATTGATGGAATGAAAGGTGGGAACAGGGATGGCTGCAGTTTCAGGCTGCAAGTGAACTATACATTTCCTAATTGGAGCTACCTGGGGAGTTTGAGTAGATGATAATAAGAGATTTTGAAATTTGTTGAGGATATTAGGAGTAAACAGCCTTCCAATTTACAATTAGTGCTAGGGCATTACAAATGATTGGGGCTTTAATTACGAATCCAACCAAAAGAACAAGCCTACAGAGCAAGGAGACTCACAAGACATCAAACATTTCACCAGCACTAGCTCCTTATACTTTACAAAGCATTTCAACATTGTTTAGCTCTGAAAAAAAGAACAAGATCACTGCACAATGAAGAATATTGCTACCAATGACAAACTGTGGCCCCATTTACTAAAGAAAAAACCCACATCAACTACATACCTGTATTTGCAGTTGCATTCCCAAAGGAATGTAAATGACTGTACCTGCACTTCAGTCATGGCACAGGGGTGGGAATGTGCTGGGGAAAATTAGGAGTTGCTAATATTCTTCAGCACTGTCACTATAGCTTTAAACAATGAATACTTTTGTGAGCTTTTACAAATTTTGTTCATCTAACTTAAAATAATTGAATAAAAATAACTGAATTCTATTGCAAAGTGGTTTGAAAAATGTCTCTCTTTCCTCCTAGATTTCACAGGCCATAGAAATTTTCTTCTGAGAAGAATCTGTCTTTACTTTTTGATATTGCTGCTGAACACTCATCAGGGAGCACTGAAGTCTTTCCCTGAGGTTCAGTGCAGGCTCCCTGGACGCTGATGTGACAGAAGGACTCTGCAGTGAAGCCTCTGCAGCACCTGGGGACAGGATGGCAGCCTCGAGCTCTGGAGGCAGAAGAGTCTGGCCTGTGGAGTGGGACAAGCTGCTGAAAAAGACTGAAGTGAAGCTACTTGGAAGAGCCTCCTCCTCTCCTTTCCCAGCTGTGTGGAACTGGTTTGCAGCCTGCCTTGGAAAAGGAGATGTTGTGCATGTACAGGCTTTACCATTCCAAGGCCTCTGACATAAACGGACATGACACTCTGTCATCCAGTATTATGTTGACAAGACATTTTGAACTTACCACAATTAGTTTGTAAAACACCTAAGTTCATGTTCTAAAAACTAATTTAATGTATTATAATTTCATTCTTTTTTATATACAGTCTAACAGAATCACAGCTGCAAGCATTTTTGATTCCTGTTACTTTTGTTCTTTAATTAAATGACTACTTATTGCAGGAAATGAACATGTTTTCTAAAGCTCTTTTTTTTTTCCCAGGGATAGATGGGAAGAGATTATTATGCACTAAGGTATTTGACTTTTTTATCAACACAGAGTCTGCAAAAGGATGATCTCAACTAAGGTTTTCCATCTTGTGGAATAGCATTATCACCAGTTAGGGCTCTGACCCTCTAAAAGTGACAATTTGGTTCACTGCTATTCAAAATTACTAAATTGGACAGCCAGAGGCAGAAATGTAACAATGTACTTTGATGTTTAGCAAACAAATGGTTTTAATGCTTTCTTGACAGTAAGAAGAAAAAAGTTACTAAATGCTAATAAAAAAGCAAATAGAACTGGTTGAGAAAAATCTAAAGCCAGACATTTTAATAATGCCTGGCATGGAGAAGCACCTGAGGATTTACTCAATACTACTAAAAAACACTTAGGAGAAAAATAACACACTGATAGTTGGAAAGCACATGTGATGAGACAGAACAAAATAGTGAATCCACTCACAAAACAAACCTTTCTCTGCAAGACTCTGAAGTGCTGCCATTCCAGGGAGTCTTCAATGTTAAAAACTTGAAAAAAGCATTCTTGGTCCTGTAGCTTCATTGGATGATCTCCATGAAGTGTGCAAATAATAAAATGCAGTCTGTTAAAGTGCTTGTATAGACTACTACTGAATTGCTGTGAGGTGGGGAACAGCCCCCACACAGTGTCAGTCCTGTCCCCGGTGGGGATGGATCACAGGAACTGGAGCTGCTCCTGGAGAAACTGTCAGGCAGGAATGGAGGGTAAGGACACAGTGCAACACAAAGTCTGGGTCAGTGAATGGGAGAAGGAACGAAGGACTCCTGGGAGAGGTGGTGTCAGCATCTTAATGTTTGTCTTTCTTGACTATCAGCTGAAGATTTGAATGACCCCATCACCTGATCCAAGGATGTGCTTTTTCCTCTTTATTGTAATTTTTTAACTTGCTGGCTTTTCACAGAAATCATAACATCATAACTAGCCTTTTAACATATATATATATTATTATTAATAATATAGCAGTAATTCTTAACAACATAATGATAGTCCAGGTGCAATATACAAAAAAAGACAAAACAGAAAGGAAAGCAAAGTTTCTTCAGCAGAAGCATTTTCAGTTTGAGCAGAGCAGATGAGCCACTGTTAACTACAAACTAAACTTGGCTAATAATCCATGTACAGCATGTTCTGTTTAGCAGGGATGCACACTTCCCCTGGCAATAAATATGATATAAACCACATTAAAATTATGTGGAAAAACATAAGAAAAATACTGTAAGGGTAGCTTAGAGCAGCTTTTAAATGTCAAGCAGTGCTCCTGAGCTGTGTCACTGCTGCACCTGAACCCTGGGGTAGCTCTGAGTGCCTCTGTCCCCCCCGTGCTCGGATCCTTGCTCAGCCAGCCCAGCCTCTGCTCTGCTCCTGGGGAGGCACAACCTGGGACAATTCCAGAGCCACTGAGCCCTGGCACTGAGCACTGCCTGGATTTGGGGGGATCTGGACACCCCCTGGGCCATGGACTGTGCTGTGATCCTGCTGGAATTTGGGATCACACCTCACGGGGTACAAGGGAGGCTTTTCCCAACGGGAAAGGGAAACAGCCTGCAGTGCACAATTCCTGTCACTAACTAAAAACAAGGCAGTAGTATTATTCTTCCCACATGGCTTCGTTGTAAGAAAGAATTTGGGCCTTGCTGTGCACTTCTAAAACCTTGTAAAGTTTCGAGAAAAGTCCTGTTTCATTCAGATAAAATTCAATCAGACCAGTGGAAAGAAAAGTTTAATATCTCACGGAGTCCATCTAGTGGAGATCACAGTGAGAACAACCCCAAAAAAACCCACACAAAAACCAGAAGCTCAGAAAACATTCATACACTGATGCAAATGGAATGAGTGGACCAAATTATTTACTGGAAATTGCAGTGTAATTATTTCCAGAGACAACACAGCCTTGAGGCTTTAAAATTCTTACCCGAAATATTTGCACAGCAGCTTTATTTGATTTCTTACTGATTTAAAGCAAAATAACAATGACATAGAGTAAAAAACCCAACAGACAACATCTGGTTTTTTTTTACTTAAGTTTAATAGAACTATTTGAAACACAGTTCCAACACAAGTGTTCTCTCTCAGAAAATCCTGCTCAAGTCCAACACCACAGACAAACAAGACTGAGATCAAACCAGGTGGTTTGGTCCCTGAGTAATTCCTGCTTGTATTCTGGATCAGAACCAAAACGTAGATTCAAAGTGAAATTCAAAGTGATTTCTCTGAAAGTCAGTTAAGTAACCTATAAAAATTGTTAAAGAGTTATTTAAAAGTAGCATGTGCTAAAAACAAAATGGCATATTACATTTTAGCAGACTCAGTAAAAACTCCAAATCTTACAGGTGAGTGGGTAAATTTTATCCACAGATATTTTAATATTATTAAGGAAAATATGATTTCGTTAGTTTCTTTGAGTGTGACCAAAAAAAAAGAAAAAGTTACCAAATTTTCCATTACAAAAGTGTTTCTATTCACCTTGAATTTCAGGAAGGAATCTGAAAAATCACTTCAGAATTCTGCCTTTGATTGAAACAAGGTCTGCAATCCCCTGCGAACGTTACACAGCTCCTCTTCTTGCTACAGAAAAATTACACTTATCATTTTTATCACTTATCACATGCTTTTGAAAAAAATCCGATTTTATTTAATGCATTGCAATCCTGGTGCACTGTACCTGCTGCTTAACATCTCAAAGATGATACTTTTCAGCATTAAGACTCAGAACTAAACGAGTCTGTTCACATCTCCCCGTGGCTCCCACCCCCCAGGTAAGGTTTTAAATATGTCAGTGACATTTGCATTCTGACTAATTTTTATTTTTGACAGGAGACTAGAAATCAAAATTTTAGTAATTTAGTGTTCAAACCTCACAAAATAAACAAAAATGAGGACAAGATAAATTTATTTACCATTTCTTTTAGAAATTTCTCTTGGAGTCCTTTTATGTCTTCTTTCATCAGATGCATCTACGAAAAAAACCACTGAATGCATCTCCTCTGCTCACCACTGCCACCACATTTTCAAGCAAACAATGATATCCCTAAATGTGTCATAACCAAGAGATACAGATGAACATGCAGCCACCTGCCTATGGAAAAGAATGTTTTATATTTTTTCTTTCTTGGATGAGCAACACCAATAAACAAAGTCACAGAATCCAGAATAAGTCCTCATAAATGCACACACCTTGCAGTGGGTGAAATCTAGGCATAAACAATGAATATTGTGAATTTAAGGGACATTTTATGGCAAAAGCTAAAAAAATATTATGTATCATTAATATAACGGTGAGGATAAAATCTTCAGGAAAAAAGTCACTACTGCTATCTGTGGGTACAATTGAGGAATTATTAAAATGAGCAAAATAGAAGTTCACCCTACCTCTGAAGTAAAAACATTTTCTTCCAAGCCAACAGAATAGCAGATATTCTTTTCAAAGGAAGTTTTAAGAACCTGAATTCTAAAGAAATAAAGGCAATTCAAGCAGCTTTGCTACATAAGAACTTCCTACACAGAGCACAAATACATCCCCTTGTTAGGAGCCTATTTGCATTTAAAGCATGGATAAATATCCCCATCATTGTTACTGCTGGAACAGTCCCTCAGGTACGTGGAGAAATTTAGCTGGAGAATAATTACATGAACATTTTAATCTCATTTAATCTCATTTTCTCATCAATCATCTCTCTTTTATGGAAGAAGTTGCAGAGAGAAGAGGAGTTGTGCTGATCTCCCTCAAGTGAACAGAACACAAATCTCATCCCAGGATTAGGGAACCCTACTGACCTCTGCTGCTCATTTTTCATGTATGTACTAAAAGACTGGGAGTGCTTTTTCCAAAAGGTCTGGAAAGAAAAATATTAAGAGATGCTCATCAATGGGAACTGATTTTCCAAACTAAAAGTAATTAATTTCTAATATGAACAAAATGACAACGACAGATTCAACACAGAAGGGACAGGAGTTACACAGCCCCCACAGGAGCTGGAAAACCCAGCCCATTAAAGTACTTGTAGCAGTTTATTGTAGGAGGAAAAAGTACAGGAATTCATATAGTGGATACATGTAGGAAAACACAGAGTGACCTTGGGATTCTAAGAGCATCCAAATGCATTATTTGAAACTTGACCCAACTAGAAGCAAAAAGGTAAGGGCTTTGAAAATCAAAATTAATGATATTAAGTTAAAGATTATGTGAATGATCTACAGATTCTACCAGAATTCCCTCGTACCCATGATCAAACAACTAAAATACAAACCAAGAATTCTTTTTCCATTATTTTCAGGGACTGAGAATCCTTTTCAAATTTCTCAAGTTCCTCAGTGAGAGTAAAATGAAATTCATCCAACTGCTTGATCCTACCAAAACAAACCAGGTTATTTGCAGAAGGTATTCATGCATTTTAAGGATGTTTTAGCAGAAATCTGCCATTACTGACCTGCATTCATGGAGTTGGTGACTCATTGTTGCCAAATGCTGATGGGCAGCTCTCAGTGTTTGCTTATTATAATTATCCATTTTCCGGGAGCGGTTCTAAGAGGATGTTTTAACATGAAATTCAGATTATTTGCACTTCAGAAAAAAACCAACCCTGTAATATGTTCAGTGTTTTAACTGCTTAATATCACAACAAACCCCCTTTTAAAAATGCAATTATGTGGTGCAAGCCAAGCTATCCCTCATGTGCTCATGTACCCCCCAAGTGATGCACATGAAGGGTCTTGCCTCAATTTTTTTGGTAACTTCTTTCTGGAGCTGCTGACAAATGCTGATGGTTGAGCAATCAGGCTTCCAGAATTCCCCATCCAAACCAGACAGGTCATTTACAGATTGAGTGGAGACCGTTTCAGACACTGAAGAGAACAAAAACAAAATGTCAAATTCAGTCTAATAAAGTTCCCAATCTGAAGTTAGCACAGGGCTTGGGACAGATTTTGTTCTGTATAAATTTATGTCACCAATCAGATGGCTGAAGCCAGTTTCTATTTGCATATCAATTTTCTGACTTTTTATATGGATCCAGTCTCTAAATATTTGGTATTTTTTATTCTTTGATTTAACATGTGAAATGCCTTTTTATGGATATTCTGTTTCCTTGTTAAAACTTGTAAAAAATTTGTCATATCATTTTAAAACTTTGCACTGTCAGTCCATGACCAACCTCTGCAAGTAACAGCATCATCTGTTTTAAATAATTTTTTGGGCTGTAAACTTATTCTTCTCCTTCCTTTCTTTTCCTCTTCTTTGCTTGTTTCTGCCTCATCAGAGCTGCTTTCTGTAGTGCTGTGATAAATTCGTTTGTGGAATGTCTGTACACTCGGTCCTTCAATAAACATGGAAACAATGCTGGATTTTAGCATTATTTAGAACTATCAGATGGGAGGATAAGGAAGATTTTGTTGATACATTGGATGCAAACTCTAAGAGGATGTACCTTGGCTTTAAAATGTGAGAATTATATAGGAATTAATACCCATTACATTTATAGAGGGCACATTTAACTGACTGATGAGCAAGTCTGGGATTTTTTCTGATAGAACTGTTATCCCCATTTTTTCCCAGTATCAGTAGGAATGCCTCTTTATTTAGAGCACAACTAACTCTTTACTAAAGCTGCATTTTGGAGCCTGATTTTCATACTTTTTTGGGATAATTAAAACAGCAGAAAAAATGAGAAAAAGAGTAAAAAATAGAATAATACTGAAAATATATAAAATATAAGAAGATTAACAAACGTTGGCCATATTATCATGCCAAATAAAACATTTTTCTTAACCCTTATGGAGACATATAGGAAGGCTTTTTCTTTAAATTAAATGTCTGTACCTGACTCATTCAAGGGGGAATAAGGTTCTCTAATCCAAGACTGTACTCTACTCCTGCTGGACAGTGGGGATGGTGCTACACAATCCTAAAAGAAAAGTCACTGATTTATTTATTAGCTTCAACATTAAATTACTTTTAGAAGTCTCCATCAGAAACTCACATTTATGTTGTGAGAAAATAATTTATTTTCTATTGGAAGTCACTAAGAAAATATTTACTCCTTGTTATTTAAAAAAATATGAATTGTAACTGATCTTGTTGGGATATAATTATTTTATTGTATGAAAATGATAAACAATTATCTAATTAATCTCCAGTATTTAAAAATTAACTATTAGGTCCCAAAATCTGTGTTAAATACTGAGATGCATTTCCCTTAAACCTCAGCACCTGGAAAGGAGAGAACAGAGATACCAAGCTGCAGCTCTCTTCTGGAGAGCAAGCAATGTCCTAACTCACCTCTTTACTTTTACTGAGAGGTTTTGTGGGATCCTGGAGTTTGCCTTTAGCACAAACCATGTCTGAAAAGCAAGACTGGAGACTTGAATCCTCTTTGTTATTCCCCATTTCCAGCACAGCTCCCTTTGCACGTTTTCCACTGTCAGCTTTATATGTTGTTAAGCTGAGCTACACATTAAGGAAAAAAATAAAATCATTATTGAAAGGAGATGTCCCTTAAACGTCACCATCTGTTAACTGATAAAGCAAAAAGCTGCAGGTCTCTTCTGAAGAGCAAAGAATTTAGGAACATACCTCCTCCTTATTTTTGGGGATAGGTTTAGTGATATCCTGAAGCCTTCCTTTAGCAGAAAACGTGTCTGAAAAGCGATGTTGGAAACTTGAATCTTCGTTATTGTTACAGGTTTCTGCTGCAGCTCCCTTGGAATTTTTGCCACTGACAGTTTTGTATTTGGTTAAGCTGAGCTGCACAGGAACAAAAAACCCCAAACTTTATTGAGAGGAGAAGCAAAAAACAGCTGGCAGCCAAAAAGAACTTCAGTTAAAACAACTCTAGAGAAAGGTTAATGCTCTTACCACGGATGCTTCAGTTAAAACTGGTGAGAAGCTTTTCCTTCCAAATGCCAGCTTTGTAACTGCTGTCTCAGGGGACTGAGTTACACCCAGACTTTGAAAACTCTCATTTTGTGGACAGAAATTACTGGGAGAGGTTGCTCTCTCAGAGTTTAGCATTTCCCTGGCTTCTGGTGTTGATTCCTGCAGACCAAGCGACCTCTCACTGGAGCTGTGCTCTGGACTGACATCTGACACTCTCTCAGCACCTGGGAAACAGTTCCTGCACTGTCAGCACCAGCAATGGGGGGTACCCAAGGGCAGCCAAAGCCCCACTCTGCTCCCTGCTCCAGCCCTGGCAATTTCTAAGTCTCAGACTGGTGGAATTTGGCACAGGCCTTGCCACACTTCCCCCTTCTCCCTCTGCCACTGTTTCAGCAGTACCAGATTTGTTCTAACGCTGACAAAATGTGTTTCTGTATTACCCTGATGTCAAATAACTGCACCAACCTACAGAAGTGTTAGTGACATACTAATACAGTCCCTTCAATTATGTAGAACAACTGGAATTATGAGATCTCATTTTGAAACAAGAAATAAATGTAAAATTATACTGCTGTGATAACCCTCAATTAGCCTCCACCTCTTGATTCAATACTGCTAGACATTAGAAGTGAAAATACCTACATCTCATTGTCTCAAGGGAGGCAGGACTCTCAGGTGAAGGCATTTCCACTTCCTTCTGCTCTGCAGAATTCCTGGCTTGGACCAGTGTTTTCTGCACACAGCTATCCACTCTCAGTGGCTCCACAGGTACCATCTGCATTGCCTTTGGCTGCTTGGAGTCCTTGACTGCCCCATTCATATATTTCTATTAAAATACAAAAGTTATAAAAACATCTTCGTAAACACAGTGTCCAGAAAAGCTGGTAAAGAGAGATATAGATTTATTATCTATATACCATTGATCAAGCAGAAAGACCATCCTCAGAAATACTTAAATCCATAAGCAGATCAGGTTTTCCAATATCAAAAAACATTTAATTTCTTTAACTCAACACATAAATTTCTATTGTTATGAATTACTTAATTACTGGAGGCAATTACTGATGTTTCAGGATTTAATTAATGAAGTTTATAAACCTTTCCATATATATTGACATGCTATACTAAAACAATGAAAATGTTTTATTAACCAGTGTTCCTTTACTAAAAATCCATTTGGATATTCAGTAAATGTATTGACACAACATTACCAGCACCACATCAACTCAACAAGATTTGGCTCACTAAGCCCTCCAATTTAAGGACATTTTCAAAATATTGTCACATTTTCAAAGTACAGCACACAGTAGTTCTTTGCAGCAGAATAAATCTCATATACAGAAACCAAAATCTATTATGACTAGGAAGATTATTTAGGACTGATTTTCTTAGCAGCTCAATACATATAATTTCAAAAAAAGAGGCAATATTTAAAATACTAAAATTAACTTCAGTTTGCTTATGTTAGGCACTTAAAATTCAGGAGTATCAAGTACAAAGCAGAGCAGAATTTACTCTGAAAAACATGGCAGGAATGGATTTTTAATAATCAAGTGGAATTGCACACCTGTATTTTGGATTTCTCCCTAGAGGTGCATGTTGGAATCTCTTCTTCACTCTCACACTCAGAACTGGAAGGCTCTTTGTAATTTTTTGTTGCTGCTGCTCTTCGAGGGAGTTTTTTCCTGGTGGACTTTACTATCATTTCATTCGAATCCTGGGGGTTTTTGTTTATCTTTGGAAGAATAAAACCATCTTCAGTTAACAAGAATGATTAATACATACATAAGATAAAATGGCAGATTACTTGGTTTAATTACTTGAAACTAAAAGGGTTTAACTTCACCATAGCTCAGAGAATCCAACTATCAGTCCACTAAAACCAGCACCCAATGTACAAAATCATTTTAACTCACTCGTGACTGAAAAACCAACAAATATTACATGAGAAGAATACAGTACTTGAAAAGAATAAATTGTATTTAACAAATTATCTGGGAGAAATGTCACATATTTATGAAAGACTATTTTAAAACCGTTTCTGGGGGGAACTAAGATTTTTAATCTACATTAAAATTGTAGTTACAAATTTACACTTACCTTTTTCTTATTTGTATTTTTGCCTTTAGCTTTATCCATGTGATAAGTAGGTTCAGAGGATTTATTTGCTGTTACAATACAAGAAGGTGGAAAAATCAGGAAAATATTCAAATGTTTGCCATTAGTTTTAGCTGTAAAATAACAGAATCACTTTCATGCCCACAAATTGATTGATCAGTAACTGCTTTCAGCCCATTATTTTGAAAAAGGCATTTTTTAAATTGACAACAACTTGTACCTGTCCCATCCTCCCATAGTTTTCCACAGTAAAATACAGAATTTATGCAAATTGATCTTTATAAATGATTAGAACTAATTTGAAAATTCTTTATGCTTGGAAACAAGACAACAAAAATGTATATTTGCAACACAGCACATGCCATGCTGTGTACTTCAGATCAATGGGCAAATAGTGCAGAATTTCTCAAATATATGGAAAAAAACCCCTTACTTTTGTCTGGGCTCTTGGGTTTCCTTGATTTTTTACTTCTACTGTAATCAATTATCTGGGCTTTAGGTTTCCTCTTGGATTCCTGCAGCCAACTAATCTCTGTCTTGCTGTCATCCCCTTTGTTTTCTGTGTCTGAGTCACTAAAAAGATGCTTCTTGTCTCGATTGGTTCTAGTCTACAAAACCCGAAAAAGTCCATAAATTACTGATTAATTTTATACACAATCTGCTTACATAACTGGTAATTAAAGGCAAGAGGACAAACTATGCTGATCCATAAAAATCTGAGCCTTACCTTTTTTCCTCCCTTCCCTTCTGTGCTGGATTTACTGATGGCTGTATTCCTTAATTAGAGAAATAAAATCCACCTTTAAACACTACATTTTAAAATAGTTGTTCTAAAGCTTTCTACTATTCCCGTGATATCTGGCTTAAGGATTCAAACAAGGGTACCTACTTTTGTTTCTACATTATTTTGGAATTACCTGTTCACCTTAAACCCTGAAGGTTGTGTTTGTTTCCCAGTTATCAGGAGGAGTACACAACAACAGCACAGCCCTTTCCACGAGGATCATTAACCAAAACCCATCCCCCTCTATTCAGGAGTTTTTATCTCCTTCATGGAACACATCCTTTCCTTTTTAGCACCTTCCCAAAGGACCACCAAAGAACAGCCTAGGAGAACACAGCAATGATTATTGCTTAAAAAACCAACACAGCCAAGATATTCTTGTCATGCAACATTCCCTGGAATATTGTGACTGCCTGCTGGAGACTGCAGGCTGTACTAGAATAATCAGCAATCAAAACAGAACATCCTACCCTTTTCTGTTTGTCTCTGTATGAACACTCAGTTCAGTCACACGCAATTCTTGGATCTAAAAATGCAAATAAAGAAAAAACAAATGAAGGTTTTCATTGGTTATAGAATCTGTACAAAATTAAACAGGCCATCAGTCAGTAACTGCTAAGGAGGTTTTATTTTCTTAGTTATTACAGTCAGCAATTAAGTATCATTAATTTCTATCTTAAAATTTATTTAATAGAGCTGACAGTTCAAACCAACACAGCTGACTGAAGCTTTCAGTATGTCAAAGCAATACCAGAGCTCCCACCCACCTGCTTCACAACCTGCCTCAGTTCCTCCTGTGAGCCACAAGAAGCAAAAATATCTTTTATCATCATTAGATTTTCTTTTTGCTCAAACATCTGGACAAAGATGTCTTTAAAATGGTGATTAGAAGGATGCCAATAATGTTTTCAGGATAATTTAAAATAATGATACTCCTAAAGCACAGTTTAATTCTTGACTGAGGAAAAACATCATCATAGCCTGAAATGGCCAGAATCTTAAGACATATATATTGTTCAATATTTGAGAATGCTGGAGGTATTTACAAGGCAAACTTTCTCCCCCACTTAGTTCACTGATACAACTTGGATTTTCAGATCTTAATTATACTTTCAGTAGACATGTGACTGATTTCCTTTCTATTCTATTCATAACATAAAAGTTTCAGTTATTTCTTACTCCGAGCTTGATTGTAGGCTCATCAAACCCACTGATGTTAAAGTTGTAGACATCATCCCTGTCAAACAGACACAGAGATCATTTTTGTGACTGAATTAATGAACATTTCACAGAGTCAGGTGTGGGTAATCAGAAATTGTGTTTGAAAATGTTCTAACTACTTACAGAACACGACCAGCAGTTATATTAAGAAAAGAAGCAGTTTTTAAGGTCCTGTCCTGAACTTCTTCCTATCCATAAATGAAAAGTTAAGTCTTGACTGTGCATCCATAGACACTCATCTCAAAAAGCAACTTCCTCATCATGAGGATAATCAGGTTGATTAGCAACAGCTCAATATAGCAAAACATATTTGCAGTCAATGAATAATTAGCATTAACATCTACAGATACTTAATATTCAATGGTATTTATGAACTTTCCCTTTACACCTATTGACTTCCACCATGTATGTACATATTAACAATTCCAACAAAAGCTCTAATGTGTTACCTTGGAAATCCAGGATTTATTTAAATGTGTCCTAAAAATAATGATACATTTTGTTAAATACTAATTAGAATATATGCATTAGAATATTGCCTATATAAAAAAACCCTTATCAAACTCAGTAAATTTATTCATGCATTTAAATACAACCTCAATTAAATGGTAGATTAAAAAAGCCCAGTCCCTCTCATTTATCAGCATCCATGGGTACATCACAGAGACAGCCAGAGGCACACAAAGACAGCACAAAAGGAAATAGTCCACATCATACCTGTTAAAGCCCAGGGAATCTCTTGCTTTGCTCTTCACATCACTCTTGTCTCTGTATCTGTCACTGATTTTACTGATCAGTGATTTGGCTGCATCTGCCATTTCTTTAGACTTTGGTTTCTATAAAAAACAGTTTAAGACTCAACATCCAACAGAAGAACAAAGCTGCAAACAGAACTTCATGTTCCTAAGAACCCTCTAAACTTCATTAAATGTCTCCTAACGGATTCAATTACATTCATTTGAAAACCATGTTCCCTTGCATGACAGTAAACATAAACACACCAATTTTGAAACACTGAAAATTGGACAATTCTCTTAATTCCAAGTGGCAGAAACAAAGGTAAGAAACTCTCACTGTCTTCGACTGTTTTGGATTTGCAGTGTCTTTTCTGAGGGAAACATCAGGGTCCTCTTGTGCAAGGTCAGAATGCAAAGATGTGTCAGACACTCTGGCTGAAAGGAAAGTTTTAAACCACGGTTCAGTAGTAGTAGTTTCAGTATTTTTCCTTTCTGTATTTAACAGTTTCTGTTCCAAATGACCAACACTCTGCCTCTTCACTGAGGATGGTATCAATTCAATTTTCTTATTGGTTCTGGGGTTTTTTGTTTGTTTATCTGGAGAGGTACTACAAAAAGATGAAGAAATGCTTTTTGTTTCACAGCTCTTTCAGTACCAATAGTAATAATGGGAAAAACAAGCACCACTGCAAGTGAATTTCTCTGAATCTATTTTTGAGAGTAACAGTTGACCAAGTGTGACCATCACCTGGATGGGATGCACGTGCCAGTGACAGATTTGGCTTTTGCTTGTCCCCAGTTGTTACATTCTTCTCAGGAAGAGGGAATGTTCTTTTTTTCCATGTTTCAGTTTTATCAAAAGAAGTCTCCAAAAGACCAGGCAGCCTAACAAAGACAACACCATCCTACTGTCAGAACTTGACTCTTAATTATTTTAAAAGTGCATAATAAAATATGAAAATTAATAGATCTTAGAGATATCAAAGCATTTTACATTGCAACAAAATAAGAATTCTGGTAAAGCTTGCAAATTCCCCCTTCAAAGTGAGTGACAACGAGGACTTGGAATTCTTTTCCAGTACTTACAAAGGTTTGTTGCTTCTCCCAACTGGCTGAGAATCAGGAATGATATCTAACACTTCATCTAAATGAGACATTAATTTGGTGTCAATTCTTATGGCAAAAGAAAAAAATGAAAATAATTTTAAAAGTAAGGACTATCAATGCTGGTAAAATTACTTGCCTAAAGTTTGCTTTTCTGTGGCCTCTTGTACAACTTTTAAGACCTCTTCAGAATGCATTTGCTACAGTGGAATGACACCCAAAAGGAAATATTAGTGCAGAACCATAAGCAGTACATTCTCTAATAAAACATGACTTTCTTTCTCATTCCATGGAAGTGCTGTTTCACTATCTTCCCATGGTTTTTTGCCTCATTCCTGGATCTGACTTCCTGATCTGGTGTGTTTCACAAAATTCACTGTCTACTGTGCATCTCTCCCCAGTCTAAGAAACACAATAAGTAACACTGCCAGTTACAGCCATAAAAGCCAAAGAAATGCTCTAAACAAATCATTCTGTACATGAGAGCCTTTTCCAAAGCATGGCTGCACCAAAAAATGCTTCAGAGTCCCATAGTCTGGGGCTTGACCTCAATCTGAGCAAGGCAGACATTCACAACCAGAAACAACATCAAAATATTATAGTCATTGTTCAACAGAAAGAAAAAATAATCAAAAATATACTTAAACTGCAGGCCAGTGACACCTGTATAGTTTTGTTTTATAGTAGTGAATGACTGATCAAAAATGCACTAAAAATACACATGCTTTAAATGCTGCAAGCTGAACATTTCACAAGCCCAGCTGAATGTATTCTATGTTTTATGACTATTTCACTACTGCATAATCTATTAGAAATTATTGCATGCACCTTTCTCCTATCATATACAAAGGAAGAACTGAGGTTCCAAAAATATGAAGTTAATTCTGGACTGAGAACTGATGAGTGAATGCAAATTTGGCCTAATTTTGTCAGAGTTCAGTCTGACTTCAAACATGTTAAACCTGAATTTCAGAGGGCAAGAAAACATAATGCAATAAAGTAAAACATACTATTTTCTACAAGTCACTTGCTGACTGTAAAACTCTAGGTCTTTAAAATATGAATTAGGAACAAATTAAAATAGAAATTAATGTTATTCTAAGAAAGAGACTTAGCTACAGAGGACATGCATACTCCAGGAGGTTCCTGATAGGAATTTTTTGTTCTGCTCTCATTTATTGTATCATTGTCAGACCTCTTAGTAGAGCTGGTCATTTCCAAAGGCAATTTAAATCTCCTTTTAAAAGGAGTGGCTGAAACAAAACAGAGATGTGTCAGAATTCTCCCATTACAACAAGAAGAGTTTAGCCCACTGTCACAGCTATTCCATCAACTCCAAGAAAAGCTGGTTAGTTTTGAGACCAGCCCCTGATGGACCTTTAACAATTCCATTGATTCCAGCCCTGTTAGGTGGAGATTAAGAGCCTATGGACTGTGGATGTCTGCAGGCAAAAGCAAAGCTTGTTTCAGGCTGGCTCTGGTACAAAGCAGTTGGTTTCTGAGTAAAGACTTCACTGTAATAGATTTTGACTGAGTTCTCAGCTGGCTCCAGCACCAGCACTGCCTGCCAGCTGCAGCAGAAGTGCCAGGTGACCTGAGCTGCTGGGAATGCAGCACAGCCCCTGCCTGTCCCACACCGTGCCCATGGACCAGCAGCAAGTGGCCCTTAAACATTTCCCATTGAAACATCTGCTCAGGAGATTTTATCACTTCTCCTTTTCATTTCCAGCTCTGCCAAGGAACACAGTTCATGCCTGAGTTTCAAAGACCATTTACAGTGTATTTTTACCCTGAAAGCACTTGCAAACTTACATGTGTTGACAAAAAACGGTGGACTCCTTGTGGACACACTTGTTCCAGGAATAAGCACAGATGCTTCAGACACTTTCCTTTTACGGGATGGAGTTATCTTGAGGAACAGAAAGAACTTGACCATAATACACTGATTTAAGGATGACAGTACAAAAATTCATAACATTTATTGCCAAGAGTCTCTTGACACTTGCCATTATTATTGCTGCTGCTGCACACGTCAAGGTAATGTGATTTTTATGCAGTTATATTTCAACAAAATATTTTTTAACTGAGATTCATGGGTTTTATTTTCTAAATTAATTCAATGAAGTATGGGCAAATCCTGTCCCTTGTCCACCAAGGGATTCCCTGGACATTCTGCAAAGCTACAAACTAAACAGGAACAGGTTTATGAACTACTGCAAGACACCCACTGCTGCACCATGAAATGGGAACTGTTTCAGTTTTTAGCCCCTCCCCAGCAGTCTCTGAGGCCATACTTGATTTTTCCATACTGGGACATTTGAGCATATCTTCAAAAACTTCTCATTAAATAGAATTCTCAGAGCATCATGGACTAAAGATCATTAACAATTCCATTTTATTTCTGTCACATTACTGTAGTTTCAAAATACTAACAAATTTTTTAGCAAAAGGATTTTTACAGCTTAGTGTCAAGTCATAGGAAAAACAACCAAACCCTCATTACAGTACTAACTATATTCCAACTGTGAAATAAGAAGGGGTATAGACTATTAAATATACAAATATTTAAATTGACATAATTGACATGCATTTTCTCTCTACTCCTTTTTGTTTTGACACTCCTACTTACCTTGGAGGAATCACCTCTGAGTTTTTCTTGACTGTTATTTTTACTCTGAGACCTCAAACTGCCAGGAGGTTGCTGAATTTTGTATTTATTGAGTTTCTCCTCATCTCCAGATTTTTCTTTCAAACCTAGTGACAACTGACTTTCTGGTACCAGAACCTACAGAATATTTAAATTTCTTTTAATTTGTATACAATATTTGGATTTTATAATGCTCTATTTTTATACACACAGAGCAACTTCTTTACCCTAAGTAACACATCCTCCACTGGAGATTCTGATAAACTTCAGAGCTTCCACACCTTCATTTTGAAAAGTTTCCAACCTAACTGCTATTTTTGTTACAAGGATGGGTTTTTAAGTAACAATGCACATAAAAGAACTTGCACTGTGCATATTTGTCCGTTTTATTCTATGATTTGGATATTATTATCTTCCAAAAAACAATGCATACATACTAGACACCACTTGGCTGGCTTTAGACTTATCTATGCTTATTGATATTTTGAAGTCCTTGTTTTTACTGTGAATGATTATGAATTATGAATAATCAGACTAATTAAACAAACCCAAGAAATCATCTCAGCATGCTGAGGTAGAATACCTGTGATCCACTTTCATCAAAGACAATGTGGACAGTTGTTTTGACTACTGATGCAGACTGCTTCTTGCTGAACTCCTGCAAAAGGACATGTCAAAATAGACACTCTGCCCTTTTTTTAAACAGGAAACAAAATATTTAAGTGACAGATCATAAGTGTGTGAAATCAGATTACACATGAAAACAGATTCTACAAATTCACAGCAGTTTCATCCCTCATGAGTTCCTCAGTCAGACTCCAGGACAAAGCAGTTTATTACAAGCAGCGGGGAATAAGGTGTAGCTCGCTAAAAATGTTATAATAAATGAGTAAATGCATGAGTGTTAATTGCACTGCAAAACAAGACAGTTCATGAATCATTTTGGAAAGCATTTGTAAGCAACCAGGTCGTAATTCTGGAAAATTAAATATGCAAAAGTTTGATATTAAGGTATGGTGTTCTCGTTCCAGCCTGGTAATTTTTGTTGTAATTCATTTTCAGTCTTGGAATGAAAGAAACATTTCAGGTGATTGAGTCCAATACTGCTGAGCCCACCACTAACCCTTGTCCCCAAGTGCCACATCCTCATGTGTCACACGGAGTCACTGCTCTGGCAGCCTCTGAAATCTTTCAGTGGAAAGATTTTCCTCAAATCCAACCTAAACCTCCCCTGGTGCAACTTGATGCCATTTCCTCTTGTTCTTATTAAGCATCTTTCCCAAAGCTGCACACATGATGCAGTTCTGCAGCAGTGATGTTCATGAGAAACTCTTGGTATGGAGAGAGCTCAATAATCACAGCTGGAACATTTATATGGCAATGAGACATTGAGTTTGAATCAATTAAAAACTATTCAAAATGTGTTTCAATCTTACCTTACATTTATGAAATCCATAAATCTTTATGATCACATCTTTGATTTCCAAGATAGAATCAAAATATAAAAGAAATTTTCCTCCTTCAAGAGTGTTCACACTCATTGGGCTTTTTAGATCTATTGTTAATAATTTCTTTGAATCTTTTTCTGGACAAAAACAAAATTTGAAAAGCAGCTTCATTTCAATTTAGCAGCATCTCACATAATCTTTGTCAACACATGACAGATTCCTCAGTTCAGGTTAATATTTTATTTAATTCCCTCTAATCTATAGTAATTTTATTAGTAAAACAATTCAAAATTTAATCTTTTAGAAATACTTATTCTGTATATTAATCCACAGAATTTTCTTTCAGGGTTACTTACTATAGCTGCATACAAATTACAGGTATTAACTGTTCTAACAAGTTCAAAAGCAATATTGTTACCTGTCATTGTCTTATTCCTTACTTCGTATGGAAATAACTCTAAGACATGATTATTAAATTATTTTCCTGAAATCACACCAGCATGCTCAAAGTGCAGATGTGACTGCAGTGCAATTTTGTATCTGATAAAAACAGTTCCTACAATATTTTAAGTGAGAAAATTAAGTCAGCTCTTTAAGATTAATCAACTTGAAATTAGATTGAAAATCCAAGTTTGAACACAACTAAAAAGCCCCATTTTTCAGTTCAAATACCTTCCAGGCTGTACATGCTGACATCATCTTCTTGTATAATGACTGTTTCCCACTGATGATCCTGACATGAAAAACACATTTTGAAAGATAGAAAAGTATTATATCACAATTAAAAGAAATCCAGTGATCAAAGTTATTCAGTGAGGACAAATTTCCAACTTTTTAAACCTCTGTTACAGAGTGATAGAACTTGTGCTTCACCATTGCTCACTACACGTGTTAAACTATTCCTGGACAGCACTGGGAAGTCATTACTGTGAAATTATTTGATCTAAATATCAACAAATCTGGATTTTTTTTAAAGAACCATCAGCACTGGAATGCACACATAGGTTCAACATGTTGAACATGGGGAAATAAAATCTGACACAGTCCAAGGAGTGTGTATTTGCTGTCCCAGGACAACCCAGTGGGAAACAGAACTCAGCTTACTGCATCCTCTGCTGCCACATAGAAGGAAATACTTCTGCTGCCAACGTTGAAATCAATCCAAAACTCTTCCAGGTTTTCATCCAATGGTATCTGGAGCTAAACAAAAGGAACAAGATTAAAGAGTAAGAGCAGAGAGCACTGATTACTACCAGCTAAGAAGCTTCATGTTGGTCTGAACCCCTAACAAACTTTCAGACCGTGTCTATTTGTATACTTCTGAAAAAATGTAATTTTTTAATCTCTATTTTTTCTTAACTAGAAGACAGAAAACCTTACCTCATGCTTATCAAGAGCTGCTGATAAACATGGGAATGTAAAGACCCTGTAAAGAAAAGGATATTTTTTCAAGTATTCTACAATGCTGTAAATAAATTTTGCAGATCTGAACATAGCAAATGTATTGTTTTCATAAACTTTACAGACTTAGAGATGCCAGCAATCAAAGTCATGTTTTTACTCCAAAGAGGCAACATGAAATTTAATCACAACATAAAAAGCCAAGAAAAAATATATCAGCATAAAAAAATCAGCTTTACCTTCTTTTGTCTCCAAGCATGCCATTCACCTGGTTAAGAAATTTTCTGCAATCCTATTAAAACACAGAAATTTCTTAAAGAATTGTAAAATGGCAATTTCCCTCCCTGGAAATATTAGTCACGTGACTTACTGTCTCAAACTCCGAATCTTTAATTCCTTTAAATGCAGTGGACACAAACTCCATGGGAAACCACTGGGAGGCCAGAACTGCCCTTTGCTTCTCTGACACCATCCTGCACAGAGCTTCTGTGATGGCCACTTGTGTGTCATAGTCTGCAGCACAACACAATTCACAGCAAGAGCAGACTGAAATAACTACTGAGCTGGAAAATATTCTCAGGAAACTGGGAAAAGCAGTGCTGAACATAATCTAGACCCCATTAGATCCAAATATGTAACCCACAAAGGATAACCAGAGAAAGAAGTATGGGAATAATGATGATTAAAGCAGTTATTTTTCAAAATGAAACCAACCAAACTTTCCAGGACTGTCAGAGCCATATCAGGTGTTTAAAGAAGAGTTGTTTTCAACTTTCATCTCTCTGAGTTGGGAAATTGTTGGATACCAAAGTGATCCCTGAGGGAAGTTAGAGCACTACTACCCATGGCCACAGCTCACAGCCTCAAAGGCTGACTTCTTTATTATTTTTCCTATTTGAAAACTTTTCTTCTACAGAAAACCAAAAACTTCAATGACTTTTCCATACACTGACCACACAGAAACGTTCCAGGTTGCAGACTGTTTTCATGCAGTACTTATATTTTTCAGCTAACCCTAACCATAATATTCTGCAGCTTCCAAATGCCTTCTCTGGTTTCTTAATGGGTCTGCATCTAATTTTTAAGCAGCTCAATACTAAATTAAGTCCCCTGCTCACCTCCAGCATCCAAAATTGTCCTCCCCATTTCACTCCTGCCAAACAAAAGAATATTTCATCAAAATGTGACAGGAACACAAGGCCAAGAAGAAAGGTTTATTACAAACTTTCAGTGTATGAGACAAACCCCTGATTCCATGGAACTCCAAGACTTCCACGGGGTAAATACCTCTGTGAGCACTCCTTGGGAACCTGAATCACCTGACAAATAGGATTTTGATTTTTTTGCTTCTCTGAAGTGCTGTAAAATTACTCCCAGTGTGAACAGCTCAACCTTCCAGTGACTAATTCACTGTGCTTTAAGCACATCTTAAATAGGAATTTAATTATTTTATGACAAATGGGATGGGGAGAAGCCTGATTCAGACAGGGAAAGAGGAAAATTCAGGCTTCTAATGAGAATAACCCATGAGAATACCTGTCCACAGCCACTAACACAGAGAATTCAACAGCAAGTGCAGAAGTTGAGTTAAACAGGGACCAATCTGCACAACAATTTAGTAAAAACTGCCTCCCAACTCTGCAAATGATGGAATGATATAAAAATGATACTGAAGATCATTTACATGACAAGCAACATCTCCTTTGTAGAAAGTATCTTTTCCCTGGCATCTCGAGGGATCTTGTCAAGCAATAAATTCAGTTTTTTTATTACCTAAGAAGAGTGGAAAAAAGAGAGCAAGATTAAATAGAAAGTAAGTTTGTTAAACTTTGAGTTGTTCTTATTTTGGGCCCTTGTAATGTATTTCATACCAGTGAAGAAAGCAACAGGCTTAAGTAACTGCAAAACAAGAAAAGATGAGGTCTACATGACTTTAAATGATATTTATCTTACTAAAACAACCTCAGTTTCAATAAATTACATTCATTTCAATGGGAACAGTAGTTGCTCAACAGTTGTTTCTTATTTGCAGGTTTAAATACAGAAAATCTTCCCAAGCTAGAGTTCTGTCTGCAGTTGATTGCCGAGCTAAAGTGTACCTGAAATTAACATTAAAAAGCCTTTCCTCGGGGGATGTTGCCTTTACCGAAGACTTTTTTGTAACCTTCCCTTTCTCTAGAAGGAAAATCCCCTGATAACCTGAGGTTACTAAAATAAACAGGAGAAATTTGGAGAGTACTGGAAGGAATGCAGATTTCCTGCAAGTGACTAAAGACTTTACAACCAACAACCTTAATCCTTTCTAGGACTTGTAGAGCACATTTTTCTTCCTAGGCCTTTGTACAGCTTCCTCACCAGAACTTTAATATCAGTATTTTGCATTTTACTCTTAAAAAAACCCAACAAGCAAACAAAAAGCCCCCCCACCACAGGTCAGTAATCTGAAACAGCCCAAACATATAAACAACAAAAAATCCTAGAAAAACATTATACAATCCTTCTGATCCTAGAGCACTACAATATTCTCTTTTTTGTAGCATCTGCACAGTTAAATAGTTATTTAACTGTCTCCACAAAGTCTGTTAAGACACTACCCAGGAAAGTGCTGCTTAGAAAGAAGGATGTTTACCTCCTGCTGAACATAAATATTAATTCTTGCATCAGTGATGAGGGAACATGTTCTCAGAACAAAGTTTTCGAGTACTTGCATTTTACCTAAGAAACAGGAAAGAAAGCAAGCAGAATTGAAATCAAGAGTGTACTAGGGTGCCCCCTCATTAACATTTGGGAAAGGATTAATTTTCATTTAGAAATAAAATACAGCATGTCTGTATTTTTATAAAGGATTAGTGATATGTGAAACAGAATAGTTACTTCAATTTATAGTAACCATGTTTCTATTCTTGTGCATCACTGTGTAATTCCCTTGGGTAGGAAATTATTAATTTTTAAATGTAGTTGGTCAATCCTTTAACTCAGCTCTCTGAGATGCAACTTAGGTGCTGGAATTTATCTCCTCAGGGCCAAGGAAATGAGCCTTTCACTTTGATCATGACACCAAACAGTCTGTGGGGACTTTCTCCCCAGTGCCACACTGAAAGGTAAGGGTAGGGTGACATTCACAAGGACAAGGTCAATAAGGAAGGATCACTGGGCTGGGGCAGGACCTTAGAAGCAACTTTTTTTAGGAATAACTCAATTCATTTGCCATGTCTGAGACTTAATGCGCTTTTATATTACTGACAACAGCAAGTTCCAAGGAAATCTGTCCATAGAGAAAGCTCAAACTAAAGCTGACATCACAGGAATGAGAAATGTGATCCTTTGTGTGTCCTGAAAGAGACATTTGAAACTCTCATTTCTGCTTTTTAAGCTCACCTTCAGGTCTGCTATCACACACAGTCTGCAATAAAAAAACAAACAAATCATTTTGATAAAGAAAATATTACAGCATTAAAAAATCAGGCAACATGTACCTGAAGGAAGTAATCAAAAACATTTAAGATTTTGAAATTATTTTGTCCCTAAAAAAGAATCTATGAGATGATCTCTACTAACAAGTGTGTTTTCCCAAAATTACATTTCAGTTAAATTTACTGAAATTATTTCACCAATGACAAAATTTTTTATGAAGTGAACTCAAAGATCTTATAAACTGGATTAGCAGATCAATAATGGGTGTAATCAAAATGTGATCAAGACGAAAATTTTTTTGTTCATTGAGCATTTACTGTTTTTTTCACTTTATTTCATGATGCCAGCCATGAACAGAAATTAGTATGAATACAGCAAACTGTTTAACCCAAATTATTTATAATCTATTTCAGAAGTCATTATACTGTTAACTTCAGGAAGACATTAAATAGAAACATATTTAAAGTCCTTTTATTGCTAAACTAGTAGCAATCACTTTGACAAATTTTATTATCAATGTAGTTTTACCAGCAACATGATGAAGAAATCTTCAGCCAGACTTGTAAGCATTTCATTCTTTTCATTTCCTCTGAGGACCAAAATTCCTTTTAACTTTTCAAACCAATTGACCATGTAAAGGGAAAAGAAAGGTAAATCTATTTTAATAGCCTGGAAAAGGACAATGGTTTGTATTATGCTTAAGTAAAACTATACAAACTCTACAATGATTAAAACAACAGCATCCCCACTCTGCTGAGCAGATGTTATCCCCAGAACAAAATTCTTCACTCAGGCTAAACAAAATGAGGCGATTTTAAGGACATTTTAACACAAAAGCTGGAGATCGACTTTGGCACCTGCCACCACGGACAGAACAGCTGAAAATTGAAAATGGCTGAATGAAAGTGTTGTTTGATGGTGTGAATACAAGCATAAAGTTATCATCCTGATTTTGTTTAATAATAAATTTTGTTTATTATTTTGGGCCCCTGTAATGTATTTCATACCACTGAAGAAAGACTTCAGTAACTGCAAAACAAGAAAAGACAACGAGTTCTACATGACTTTAAAGGGTACTTATCTTACTAAAACAACCTCAATTTCAATAAATTACCTTACTTTTAATGGGAACAGTAGCTGTTCCAACAGTTGTTTCTTATTTGCAGGTTTTTTATTATTATTATTATATTGTTTATTTATTATTAAAGTAGCTGAGAAGGCAATTGAGTAACTGTGATCTGACACTGTAATTCATTTTCCCCAGAGAAATCTCTGGTGAAAGCAGAAAGGAAGTGGTGTCTGTTTTTCAGTTTTTGCTGAGTTACAAATGATTACTGTATCTAACATGCAGATAAAAATAACACCAAATAATCAGAATAGCCCTAAAATCTGCTGAAAAAGCAGGACTACTGTGGGAATTAACAAAAAAAAATTAAATGGCACCAGGAAATTCTAATTCCTGATTCAAAAGCAATATAACAAAACACATGAAAATATATCTTGTTTCAATTGTTGTAGGCATATCTAAATTAATTATATATTGCATGATTTGCAAAACCCTCACTGGGATAGAGCAGCATCCCTTTGTAAGGGGTTGCTTGACAAAGAACATTTAAATATGAATAGTCTTTGCTGCAAAGTTACGGGAAATTCTTAATTCTGACCAAACACTGAGGTGCTCAGCACTGAAGCATTGCTTATGCCCTTTATTTGTATTTATATATTTATTTAGAAGTTCACAGATGCTTTATGGTTTTACTTATCCTTCCAACAAGACCGTGTTTTATCATTGCTGGGAGCCCATCTTCTCCTGCTATGCTGATTTTTCTCCCACATTTCTGAACAGCATTCACTAAAGTAGAAATGCTTTTGAATTCTTGTTTGTCAAGTGCCTGAAATCGAAATTACAACATAAGCTTTAAAGTGAAGTCCCACAAGAACCCATCTTTAATTATCCAGACGCCCTTTTTGTACTCAAAAGCCACCTTAGCTGCAGCTTGAAGGAGAGATTTTATTAATAAAATTTATTTTGGGTTCTTAAATCAACTGCTATTGTGAACCAAGCTAAATTTAGAAAGTCTTTTTCACCCTCTTCCAAAGATGCTGCAGACGATTTTGATGCAGTGATTACATTACCCAACACAGAAGCTTGTCCAATTTGTTGACAAACTGTTTGCTGCATTTGTGAGAGACATTTTCACATTCTTCTGTGGCCAGAAATTGTTCTAAGGATTGGAAATCCTTTTTTCCTGTAGCTTCATCAATTAACTTTTCAAACTGTAAGCAATATACCAAAGCAACTGTATTACTGTATGCTTAACACTGATATAACACATCTAATTAACACAGATCTGATGCAAGCTTTATACAATCACCTGCTGCATTTGAAGCAAATATTCTGAATCACAAAATAATTAAGCATAAAACCTTAAGTACAGAGCACCCTATCTAATACATTAATCCTGAAAATAATTATGCACTGAGATTTTAATTATTTGCCTTAACTGGCTTTTGTTTCCTCATATTACAACTAAATTCCTAGAGAAGTGTTTGTCATATCAATGCCCCTACCTTGGTGTATTTAGTATTTGACACTTCTGAGCTACCTTATCCATTTTGTCCCTTTAATCTTTCTAAATTTCATTCAATTACAACTGGATTTCAGCATTTTGATCTTAAGTATCACCTCAGTTGATTAACCTCTGCCAAATGCATACAGTATCTTTTCATCAGTAGCAATTTCCAGTTCCTCTTGCTTTCCACCCAGCTACTTTGCACTAAGCCATGCCAAAAGAAAATCTCTTCCTACCACACTGCACTGCCACACTGAAGACTTTCCTTACCATTAAATGTTAGTAATTAAAACAATCAAAACTCATATCCTGCTCCATCAGCACATACCTGCATGGCATTCCTGGCCGGCATTTTTGCAATTCACCAACTCTGCTGCTTAAAAGGGAAAAATCATCACACTTTAAAGAGGTTTTACAAACACATTGGGAACCAGTCAAAACACATTACAAACTCCACAAGGTTTGTCAGTGTATAAATGCTATAATATAATGATATAAATGCTATATATGCTGTTTAAGCACCTGGGGATACAAGGACACTTTTTTGCATGAGTAAACAATTGCTTAAAGGAAAGGAGAAGAAGGAATGAGCAGTTTCTCAGCTGGAAACTAAGGCAGAGGGAGCTGAGAGGACCCTCAGGATTTCCCAGCAAGGAAAGAGCAAAGAAGGTCAATACCAGGTGAGTCAACAGCAAAACTCCATTAAAGGCCTCACATAAAATGGTAAATGAAATCATTTAACACAAATATGATAAATGACACAGGGAAAAAGAATTCTTGATTACACATACAGCGATGGGCTCCAAAGTGACTTTTAGTCACCAGCTAAAAGCAAGATCTGGGTAACAGAGGTTTCTGAAAATAGTGTCTTAAAACTCAAGGGCAGGCAAAATAGTTGCTTTGTCGAACATTTAAGAAAAGCAACGAATCTGTTCATGCTTTGTATGGATTATTTTGCACCAACCAACCCATGTGCAGTCAACAACCCGCAGCTTTGGTCTCCCCATCCCAGACACTATACAGACAAAAGAAATAGTGATTAAAGACAGGGAATGACTTCTGCAGAACATCAATGGGAACACAGCCTAACTATTCCTGTACTAAATAATACGGAAATAACAAACACAAGGTGATTTTTAATTACTTTTTCCAACACAAGAACACAGCGGCCTCCGCTGAGGCCCGCGCTGTCCCCTCACAGCTCTCCTGTCTCCGGCGCGGTCACACAGCCCTGAGGAGGAGCAGCACAATCCGCTTTTCCCCACAGGAATCCGCGGGGCCCCGCCGCATCCCGGCACCACCGCGCGCCCTCAGCGCGGGCCGGGCCCGGCCCCGCCTCTCAGCGCCCGCCAGCCCCGCCAGCCAATCGGCGGCCGGCAGCGCGGGCGCGGGCGCGGGCCAATGGCGAGCGGCGGGGGGCGGGCGCTGCGGGCCCTCAGCGCGGCCGGCGGGAGCGCCCTCAGAGCGGCGGCCGTTGTTGCTTGGGCACCTGGAGCTGCCTTAGCCTAGAGCCGCTGCTTAGAATCGATTTCTGCGTACACACAGAAATTACTGGGCATGACTTGTTAAACCAGAATCCATTCCTGTGCTTAATTTAGAAATGCTTTCACTGCCCTAGTAAGTGCAAAGACACACTCGGTTACAAACCTGCTGTGGGCAAAGGGCTTCGGCTGACGTCTGCGGTGTTTATTATGCTGAGGGAGCTGGATAATGTGCTTAAGTGGCATCCAACAGTGCAGTGGATAATGTGCTTAAATGGAATCCAGCAATACTGGATAATGTGTTTAAATGGAATCCGACAGTGCCAGAGGGGGCTGTAGATAAACCTGCACTGGTGTATCTATTGCCATATCACAAATACAGGCGATAAAACTTATGAATCTCACATACTCCAAAGGAGTATCGAGAAGTGTCTCCATTCATACCTAGAATAAGCAGCAATAGTGAAGCTTCTATGAGAGAACCCACCTTTCACAGCAGGTAAACCAGCAATCGTAAATAAAATAATATTGCTGATTCCCTGAAATGAGAAAGATAAAAACTCAATACTATAAAAGAAAAAAAAAAAATCCAACCAAGAAAAACCCCAGAAAACAAACCAAGCAAAAAACCCCAACTGCACATAAAGTATTGAAAATACCACGAGATGTCACTGTAATGCAAGAAAATGACAAGTGGTGTGAGACGTGCAGTGTCTGCACTGAGGAGCTGGGAGTGAGCAGTGCTGAAGCAGATTTGTGAAACAGCTTTACTGAGAAACCTCCTAAGGACAAAACTGTGCATGAGGAACTTGGAGCATCAGAAGTCTTCTATGAAAATTGAATCCTGGGTTGTACTTTCACCATATGAAGCAGAAATAATCAAAGCCAGTTTGAAGTTGATGCTTTCCTTTACCAGTCACATGAGCAAACAGAGGCTCAGCCTGTCCAGCTTTACTCATTCTTTAGTAAAAGAAAAGTGAGACAGTCCAGAAATGGATCACACGCTTTCCTTCCTGCAATCTACACTGAGATGACTGCAGCTCATTTCTCATGCTGTAACATTAGTCTATTTGGTTTAGCAGAAGGGAAGTCAGAGAGAAGTTTCATTGCATTATGCATTAAACAGACCAGAACCAACAGTGAAATTATTTGGTCACAGTCATATCGGGCACATGTAAAAACACCAGAGAAAACGGAACTAAAACTCTTTAGGGTAGGGTTGCACTATTTACAGGAGCTCTTATTCACTACTGTAGCAGAAATATTTATCCTTATTACAGTTACTGGAAGACATTGTGCTGGGCAATGTATTTTCAATCTTTGGCACAGCTGTTATTGTGTATGTAGGGTCAGAAGTGTTGATACCAACAGTTTGAATATCAAGTGTCAGCTAAAATACTTGCAGATCTGAGATCACAGGGAGAGAAGTTGGGAAAGAAGTCAGTACTAATGTTACACTCCTGTTGCCAAATGAGTAATCACTTAGACTTGCAGCTTTACCAGCTGTAAAGTACAACTGAGCACCGATGATACAGTACATTAAGTGCTGTAGTTACCGACTGTAGATGCATATTACTGTGATTAAAATTTTCAATTTAATTCTTTTCTTTGTAAAATAAATACAAATAAATGGTGAATTTGAAACTAAATGTAAAAATACCACCTATATTAAAAGTAACACCAACAACCTGTAAGACAAACCTGATAGTTGGATGTTTGCAGAAAAAAACTATCACTTTCTTAAATAATTTACATTTTGAACAACTTCATACAGACATGCCCATGTATTTAAACAGATTTGCAGTATTAGCAGTGATTAAAAAGTAACTGGTAATATTAATTCATTAATTATGTCTGCTAGATAATTGTCTTCATTTTGCTTTAGGAGAAACTGGCAACATGTAATTCCATCTTCAGCTCTATCAAGACTGACCCCAGTGCAGCTGCATTTTACATGGAGGATAAATCAGGCACTGCATAGGGACACTCTTAACATAGCACAAGTAGATTTTCATGAAACCTGTCAGAGCAAAGAACCTGGTTTGAAAGGAAAGGCTGCAGCAAGGATAACTGAAAGAAAAGAAATAGAACAAATAATAACACAGTTGTGAGGCCCAGAAATGAATGTGTTAAGTACAGTCTAGCAGAGATTTGGAAAGTGCAATTTGAGGAAAACCTCCTTCTTCTCTTCCATGAAGCTGTATTAGAATCAAGTGGCAGCAAGCCTTTTTCCAAAATTGGATCTCAATCCTGCAGGTGCTGGATTCTGAGGTGAAAGGACAACAGATTCCATGTAGGAAATGGCAGCCTGAACATCTCTGCAGATACACTCACTAATCATTCTATCTTTATCAAGTGTTGTTCATCGTTTAGTAACTCAAACTCACTTTCCAGAGTATGTTACTCTGTAAGTGACAACTCGACATTCAATTTCTTCATGAGCTTTCTTAACAGGACTACCATTGACAGAAACAACAGAAAATTGTAAAATGCTTTTATTTCAATCTTCTGTATTACAATAGATATAGTTTTATTATTGCTTTTTAAAATTAATTAAGCACTTTGCAATTTTACTACTGCTGGACCTTTTGTCCAGCATATATGCTTCATTGATACACTGTGTAATGTACAACCCCTTTTTATTTGCATGGATTTCATGTTTCTTTAAAAAACATGCTTGAAAGAACCTTGAAACTGTGGACTACTAGACATTCATTTACCGTATGACAATAATAAATACATGTTTTTAAAAGTGCATTATATGGTGATAATCCTTGTGAAGAATTCCCTTTTACAAAATCCTCATTATAAGGGAAGTGCTCAATTTGAACACAGTGCAAGCAGTCAAGTTGTCCTGAGAAGATATAAACGTGGTGTAAGTTTACCTTCATGACACGTGCATCTTAGCACTAAATGGCTTAATCCCATTTTTGTCAACCAGAAGCCATTTGATGTTCATTACTGAGTGTGGCAAGAAAACCTAAGTGCAATTATCAGCTCTGCTGTGACAGGTGCCAGTACTGGTGTGAAGGTTTAGCAGCTTAACCCGGAGGTGGCTCTCAGCTCCACTGCTCCACTGAGCCAGCAGAACCAGAGAGCTGCACTGGCAGGAGCTGTATTGTCAGCCCTGTCCAGCAGTACACACCAGCACAGAGAGCAAAAGGAAACTTGGAATAATGCTTCAGTATTTAGTATTCAAGACCTTGCACATGCCAGTACCCTGAGAGGTTGTGGAAGGAAGACAATAGAAGGCCAACTCAGACTACTGAGACATTAATTTCTCCACTCCTCTCACACTGTGCTATATCTGGCATGAACCTTTCTCCTGACAGCCTCAGCTTTACAAAATCCGACCTGGCCACGGGAACACTGAGGTCTGACATTTGCTAGCACATGACGGTCTGTCCCAGGAGACAGCAACATCCTTCTGGCATGAAAGCAAGTATTGCTCTGAGCTCCAGAAACACCCACTGTGAACTGGTGTCTGGTAAGAGAGGGGTTTTTATGGTGTGCTGTGTTTGCTGATGGAAGAACAACAGTAATGTGGGAAGGAAAAAGAGGGGGGAACAATGCTTGAAAAGAGTGCTTTTTATTCAGCACTAGTACTTCTGTGCATGTGTGTGCACATTCAGATAGGATTGAGCTTTTCTGAGTACTTGCAAAAGGTGCTCAGCAGCTCACAGAATCCTCATTCCTGACTTTGGTTCCTCTGAAAGCCAAAGACCAATGGAATCTGAGGCAGCTTCCTCACTTGAAAGCCCAGCTTTCCTAAATGGGTATCACAACAAAAAAAACAGCATTAAGTTACCAGACAAATTAATTTTCTTGGGATTTCTGCACTTCCAGAAATACTCAGTAGATTTGTCAGACTAATATATAATTGGACATGGGTTGCTTACAACTGTGATTTTACCAACAACTTGTGATTTTGCTAAATAAGCATCAATCCAAAATAAGATGCCCAAGTAAGTGGCCTGATTTTCATAGCATAGTCCTAAAACACAGCTCTTCTAGTATCTCCAGCCAGCAGCTCTGAAAGTCTACACTACACACCTAAAGCTAAACTTTACATGCAGTAATGATTATGTATGGGAACAATTATGGACATGCTTTTACTTAATAAATTTAAGCCTGTTGCAAATCTTAAACCACACTAAAACCACAGAACGAAAATAATAGAGCAAGAAGCATGGGAAGATGGTCTAACAGTGTTCCCGTGCTCTCCCTGCAGCAGAAGGGATTCTGTTTATGGGTCTGTGTAAGTAGCAGTTTACCAAATTAAGTGCTTTCAAGTTCCTGATTGTGTTACAAAGGCTGCGGTCTTGGGAGTTCAACTGTTTTACAATGGCAAGCAGCTAAATAAAGAAGTCAAAGCTACTTCCGCAGTAGTTCTGGAACGCTGGGGAACAACTATGATTCAGGGTTCTGGAATGATATTCCAAGCCTCTTAACCCCACTTTCTGTAGTATTTCTTCTCCTTATATATATATTTATATCATATCCATTTCTTGAGCTATAATTTTACCGGTAACAGCGATAAAATCATGAGCATTCATACAGTGCTTTGAGACCTTCAACTGCATTTGCAACACAAGTCCAAACTTGGTCTTGTTTCCCTTAGTAAAAGCAGGTGCACCAGGAAAAGACAATTCCTGGACCATCAGCTTGAGGAAAAACCTACTTGGGCATCACTTTACAAAGGTGAGAATTTCCCCAGGCAGATCTGCCTTACGCTCACTTTGGTAACAATCACTCCTGCTGCAAGGACGAGGTAAGAAAAGGCATCTTTTGCTTTTTTCCCAAGGGAAACAGAGGGGCTGATGGCACATTTTCATGTATGTTTTGCTCATAGTAGCATTTACTTTCCTACTCAGATATTCATGGAAATATTTAATGTGGTTGCAGCCTTAATAACATATGTATATAAATACAAGTACTCCCTACAGTGTCTGTCATCCAAATTATGCATAAATGGAATAGCACCCTGACTTGGTGAAGTAATATAAACAAAATTAGAAACAAAACCAGTAAAGCCACACTGTCCACTTAGAAAACAAACAGTAGAAAATGGTAAGAGATCAGTTAGAAACATTCTATGCAACAAGAGTTATCACTAGCAACAAGAAATGTGTTGTTTTGCTCTCTGGTAGCCTTACAGCATTCCTGGGAACCATTCTGCAATGACTCACACACTCAAAAAACCCACATGGCCTTTCTGGGATTGTATCTCACTACAGATTTTGGCCCTTTTAACTTTCCCAGAGGTTTAGAGCAGTTTATACAGGTCCAGCCCTGGGACACTTGGCCAGGCTTGGCCGGTTTCAAAAGGAAGCCTGTTGCCATAGGAGCAGAGAGCCATGCCAAGGGACAGAGTGCCACCAAGACTACTGACACGCTGCTCAGCACCACTCCCTTTGTTCAGATGAAGTGGATCCAGCTCTCCTCACATTCCCTCGGCAGCTTCAGGGGGTGAGTCCGGCATCTGAGGGTGTAGTTCTTGCCTCTGTTGTTATCCCAGTACTCCTGGCCGTTGACTCGGTACCTTGCTGCAAACTGGAGGAGAGTGCTCAGCTGAAGGAGGAAAGGAGGCACAGGAAGAAAGAAAGTGAACACATCAACCTGATCCTGCCCGTTTTTGTCTGGGATGCTGCAGTGCCAACGAGCACACACCTCGTGGATGCTTTCCCACTGGTTGAAGGTGTAGCGCACGGACACCTGCTTCTCAAAAGCAACATTCCGAACGTGGATGGTGCCACTGAGCCCCAGATCTGAGCTGGTCACCCGTTCCAGACACACCTGCTGCTCCTGGAGTCGGGATGAGAAATCCAGACAGTCTGCAGGCTGCTGGAAGTCAGGGACCAAGCAGTGCATAGTAAACTCCAAGTTCAAGTTGCTGTACCAGAGGTCTGAGTTTATGGAGAGCCTGGAAAGGACATGCAAAGGGATGGATGGATCCTCCCCAGCCTGGAAGACTTTCACTTCAGTGAGCTCCAAGCCTAAAGCATCAGCAAACCTGACCCGGTTCATGCGGCTCTGGCAGCTGGGCTCCTGACACTGCAGCGCTGCTCTCCTCATCCTCCTCTCGGGTGATGTGGGCAGGGACCTCGCTCGGCGGCGGATGATGGGCCGCAGGGCTGGGTCGCAGCTGGAGAAGGTGCTGCTCGCGTGATTATTTGGCTGGGGGCTCTCCTTGGCTGGGGCACTGCTCCGCAAAGTCTTGTTGCTACTTGTATGGACTGCTGGGCGCTCCTGCTGCCCTCGTCTCACTGCTCCTTCAGCCTTCAACATGTTCTCATACAGATCTGAGAGGTAGCTGGGATTCCTCTGAAGACCACGCACTTCCATTCTTAACTGGTGACAAAAAATCAGCGTTTACACTGCAGGTAGTAATGAGCACTGCCGCTCTGAAGCACTTAATTTGGGAACGGCAGCCACAGTAAGGACTGAGGTTATTGCACTGGATGCAGCAAAGATCATCTGGAACCACGTCACCGTGGAACGAAGGGCAGCAGCCTGGCAGCTCTCACGGCAGCTGGCAGAGAGCCGGCAGGAGGAGGGCGTTGTGCGGGGAGCTGGAGGCAGACTCAGTGCCCGATGAACTCGAGATCGCTGTGCTGGCTGGTGGCTCCCAGGCTCAGGCTGGAAAGGGATTCAAGGCTATCACCGCTGATACTGGACGAGCTCACCCCCAGGCTGGAGAGCGACTGGAGGCTGTCGTGCTGGATGAAGGACTCCAGGCTGTCCGAGAGGTCGCTGGAGGCGCGGTGCGCGCCCAAGCACCGTGTGCCGGAGCCCCGGGCCAGAGGGGCCTGCAGGCTGTCCTCGCTGGCCCCGGCCGAGCCCACGCTCCGGCGGCAGCTGCAGCAGCACGAACAGGGGGCACACTCCAGGCTGTCACACTGGATGCTGGGCGAGTCGAGGCCGGGGAAGGCTTGGAGGCTGTCGGGCGGGAGGGAGCCGGGGCTGCTGCAGAGGCTGGAAGGCGGGCGAGGGCTGCCGGGCGCGGCCGCGGCGCCAGGCTCGGTGTCGTGGCTGGCGGGGGACGGAGCCACGTTCGGGGCCGCCACAGCGCCCATGGGCGGCGCGGTCCCCGCTGCAGCCCGACCGCAGGAGCAGCCCCGAACCCCCGGCCGGCACCGCGGCCGCTCCGCTCCGTGCCCGCGGCGCAGGCGCGGGGCCCTTCCCCCGGCCCGCCCCGGCCTGGCCCGGCCCCCACGCTCTGCGCCCGGGGGGCGCTGCCGCTGCCGACGGACGCGGAGTAAGGGCAGGTACCGGGCCGGGGACCGCCGGGCAGTGCGGGCCGGCCCCTGAGTGAAGGAGCGGCCCTTGCGGAGCGCGGTGATAGCGGCGGCGGGAGGGAGCGGAACGGGCCCGGCTGGGCGGGCGCTGCGGGCACTGCGGGCGTAGCTGCCATCGCTACGGGCACGGTCTGCGCCTGCCGGCCCTGCTGCCAGGCACCGCGGGCACTGCCTGCCATAGCCGAGGGCACAGCCTGCCACCATCCCGGCACTGCCACCATCCCCGGCACTGCCACCATCCCGGCACTGCCACCATGCCGGCACTGCCACCATGCCGGGCACTGCCACCATCCCGGCACTGCCACCATGCCGGGCACTGCCACCATCCCGGCACTGCCACCATGCCGGCACTGCCACCATCCCGGGCACTGCCACCATCCCCGGCACTGCCACCATCCCGGCACTGCCACCATCCCGGGCACTGCCACCATGCCGGCACTGCCACCATCCCCGGCACTGCCACCATCCCGAGCACTGCCACCATGCCGGCACTGCCACCATCCCGGCACTGCCACCATCCCGGACACTGCCACCATCCCCGGCACTGCCACCATCCCGGACACTGCCACCATGCCGGCGCTGGCCGCTCGCGGCCGCTGCTCTGCCCGCCCCGGGTGCGGGACTGCGGCGCTCCGGAGCTCCGGGCTCGGCTCTGCTGAGCGCGGCCGGGACAGGATGCGGGGAGGCGTTTGAGGGATAGGACGTGTAAATAGATACAGTTAATATGACTGTAAATACATAAACAGCATTGCAGTAGAAGTAAAGGTGCGTCAGGAGAGCTGTTTGTCACCTGTAATATTTGCAGACCATTGTGAACCCCTGGAACCGTGCAGTTCCCTGATAAGGGAATGCAGTTCCTCGGGAGTGAAAGAAAGCAATGGATCCTGCTCTGAGTATCTTTAGTAGGAGCTGCTGAGACATTTGTTTTGGAAAAAGAAAACAATTAAGTATTGGATACAAAATGTGCATATATACATAATCGGAAGAGCGCGAAAAATGACAGTTCAGCTCGCACAGCACGCAGGGAGTTGATCATCTGCTCTCCATAAATTGGGAGCAGGAACACCCGCCCCGCTGGGCTGTGACGCCCAGCCCCAGACAGCCCCTGGAGCTGCGCAGGCTGAGCGGTGTGGATGGGGATGAGGATGGGGATGAGGATGAGGATGAGCACATGACACTGCACAGGAGCTCTGGGAGCACGGCCTCAGGTATTTCCATGGGTTGGGAATAGTAAACGGAACGATGCTGCTTCCCACTAAGGAGTGCTGGGGGAGGGGACTGTTTTCCAGTACAGTTTGGTAGCTGATTATGTTTATCTTACTGCTTTAAAAATAGAATCACATCGGGAGGATTTTGTTTGTCGCCAGCATCTCCAGGACGTGGGGATGTCTGCATTGGATATACTGTGTCTTGCAAAGCTAAAAGACTGGAGCCGTTTGAAGATTATGTAACAGTAAAGGTGCAGATACCCTTTGGAAAGAGGAATAATGGGACCAGGCATTCAGGAATATCCCTTATTACTGCACAGAGAGACACAGCAGAAGGAAAGCCACAGCCACACCAATGAAAACCACAAAGGAATGGTAAAGTAAGGAAATTAATTTCTCTTTTTATAGTTACTGGAATGTCGACATACTGGGCTTAGTTCATAAGTGCCTGTTCCCACTGCCATCCTCTGCCCTGATTCCAGAGACAGAAATGATTGTGCAGGATGATCGTGCAGGTCACAAGGTCACAGAGGTGACTGCAGCAATGCTGGAGGCACAGGACTTAGTTTCATTCTTTTATAAGCTCTTGAATTTGTGAAATCATGTGTTTTTAAAAACAAAATCTGACTATACTGACATAAAAACTGAAAACAAGATGTGCAGCCTGGCAAATTAACTGAACTGCAGTAATGCTAGATTATACAGGAAGGCACAGTTTGATTATTTCTGCTCTGAAATGATATTTAAAGCTTTCTATTTAGTAATCAGTAACATTTCTTGTTTGTGGAGCAAACACTGTTTTTATTCATACAGAATATGCTGATTTATTTATTCTATGTGCTTACACAGAAATGTAGCTGGTGTATTTAAGGAAGCATGTTTTAGTTCTAAGCTGCCCAGATCAGTAATGCCATTCCTTTTGCTTTCATATGAGCTTTTTCTCTTAATAATATTTTCACAACCCCATTATAATATGAAATAAGGAACTTTCTTATGCCTTCATTATGAAATAGTTTGTATTAATACCAGAAGAGACCTTGTGCTCCCTGTTAACTTCTACTCCTTATCTTCAAAGGAATAATCCTTTAAATTTTGTTGAGAATATGCAAATGGGAAAGACAAGCAAGATTTGGCTTGCAGTAACCTTCACATTGTACTTTCTACTTAATTTTGGTAAATTGCAGTAGGAGCACCTACCAGTTACTATAAGAATCAGTAGTTAAATATCTAGTCTGTAATATTTATCTCCAAAGGAGCTTTGGGATCTTCTGACAGAGAATTCTATATAACAGCTACATTCTGTTATTATATCATCTGATAGAATTATTCATTTTTGCATTAATAATATTAAAAATACAGCAGTGCATTTGTAGTATAAAAGTAAAAAGTGGCCATGGCATAGTTCTGATGAACTTTAAGTCTAAGAATAACTGCAATCAACCTTTTTTTAAGCTCAGTTGCACTCTAAGCTTTTATTGTACTTCCATTCTATGCTGCTATTTATATCTGATATTCTGTTTAACCTTTTGTGGTTACAGTAATGGAAAAAGCCATCCAAGCACCAAAGGACTAAATAAACCAATTTCTTATGCGAAATCTCCTCCTGGAAGATCAGGCAAAAATGTATCAAGTGCCATTGAAAAGGTAAATAATCCCCTTTTCTAACATAAAAACACAACCTACTCTAAGTCAGCTTCTTAATAACATCACAAACTTTCATATTCCTTCAGATTTCCTATGACACTCAAGATGGTCACCAACCAAGTGTTTTTAAGAAGGGAAGGAACCAGCTGGATGGCAATAATCAGTTTAAAAGGTAATTTTATGTTAAGATTATCTGTTTAATTTGTAGTCATTTCAAACTGGTGTACAAAATGCTTGTGATGAAATTGTAGCTGCTGTGTTTTGCATTTGACTTTACTGGCTCAGAGTTCAGCATTTATGAGAACAACAAATTGAAGTCATCAAAATGGAAACTTGCTATCCCGCTTTAGTGAGTTCTCAGGCAAAACCATAATAATAATAATAAAAACCCAACAAAAAATCAGTAGTAGGCAGTGTTATCTCTACCAGCAATTATTGATTTTGCCTCATTACCAAGTTTCCATGCCAGTTTTAGCTTGAGTCATGGAGATCCCTGTCCTTGGGGTGGCAAGACCTTTGTAAGCTGCTGTTCAAAGGCATTGATTGTTCTCACAGGACATGAACTTCCTTTTCCTTTAGGATCCCAAGTGTTTGCAGCTCATTGCACAGTGCACAAGGACCAAAGAGGAGTCCCCCAGAAAGAAGACAAAACGAATCCTTCCTGCACAGGAGTCCCCCAGAAAGAAGACAAAACGAATCCTTCCTGCACAGGAGTCCCCCAGAAAGAAGACAAAATGAATCCTTCCTGCACAGGATCTCCCCTGGCTCCAAGGCCAGCACACAAGAAAACTTCAGTAGGGCTAAGGATGTCTCAGTGCAGCATTTTTATTGCAGTAAAAAAGAACAGTTGGGAAAGAATCATGAGGAATACATTGCTGAAGCCAGTCCAGGATCTTCAAAATGGCAAGAAGCATCTGTAGGTGAAATGTTTCTTGATTTTGAATCCGTACAAATTATTAAAGAAGATGCTGAAGATGATAGTGCCAGTGACCTCTCTGACTCAGAAAGGATTCCCATTCCCCCCTCTCCCTGCACACCACCAGAACTCATCCTCAGAGCTGAAGAAATCGACCCAGTTTGTTTGGAACACATCCCTGAAATGGGATTCAAAGAATCTGAATATTACTACCCTGACTTCCTCCCACCCCCTTTCAACTCGTGGGACTTGAAGCAGCTGGCCATCCTTGTCCACGTGGAAGGGAAAACCGATTTCCACCCCAAGCCCACGGGATCCCTGGAGAAATACATCGAGCGCCTGGTGCAGCTGGAGTGGCTGCAGATGCAGACGGTGCAGAGCGAGAAGGGCAGGGCCACCAAAGCCCGGCCCCAGACTGCCCCTGGCCCCACCCGTGCCCTCAAGAGCCCTGGAAAAAGCAAAGCCTTGCTCAGCCCTGTGCCCAGCAAGCAGGAAAGTGTCACCAGGCTGCCCAGGGGCTGTTTGGGTCACAGGGCAGAGCCGTACTCTGAGGAGACTCGCCAGGTGCGTTCCCATCCAGGTCACCTGAAAGTTCCTGAGAGAATGGGATGTGCAGCATCTTCTCAGAGGCACACTGGTGATGTAAGGAGTGAACTGAAAAAGAAACCAGCTGCAAAGCAGCAGCTGCTCAGTCTGCAGCCCCCCGAGAGCAGCTCTAAAATCCAAAGTGTTGGTAACATCAGACCCCCTAAGCAAACCCCAGCACCCCACGGTGCAGCTGCTCCCATCAAAGGTTTAAAAACATACATGTGTACAAATCCAAAGAAAAATGGCAATGCCAGCAATTATGGTCCTCCTAAAAAGCCAACAATGGACAGGAAAATAAAAACAAATGGCACAAAGCAAACACCACGCAAATTTCAGTGAGGGACAATTCATTAGTTGATGCTTCTTGACTGCTAGAAAGCATCTGGCCAGTGCAGAAGGATCTTTTTATTCTTCATAGGAAGATCCTGAGAAAAATGTTCCTGACACGTGGTTCTGAGTCAGCACTGTTCATTTCTATAGATTTGATCTTAAGCCAGCAGGAAATGTTTTCCCTGAAGGCAAGTGTCTTCCATTGGTCTTTCCTCAAAAATATTTATAATCGCTCAATGAAGATAACAATAGCACAGTGTGAAGTTTAGAGAAGTACAGAACGTCCTGTCTGCACCAGCTGAAGTCTGAATGTTCCTTGTACTGACCCTGCTGGGTGTGAGGGAAGAGGGTCCATGCTCTTTCTCCTTGCCCAGATGTGCTTTTTGTAAGACAGGTTTGATTGTGGTGTTTTGGTGTTTTTATAAAATAATGGAGCCTGTTATCTATGCAAAGTCAACTCTAATTCTTCACAGAAGATGATGAATTGGATTTTTTTGATGAAATAGATATTATTTTTTTGAAGAGAAGAAGAATGGTGATAACGTTTTGAAATATTTTAATGCAGACAGAATTCTTTTTAAGACTAAGTATTAGGGACCAGACAGCTTCAATAATGACAGATTAAGAAAATTGAATGTGTATTTTTATACCCTGGAATCTTCACTGTGTTTACAGACAGCTTTCCTGGAAGTTCTTTTTGTAGGCCTTGATGCTTTTTGTCATTTAGAGGAAATGACCAAATTTCAAATTGCACATGGATATATTTGAGTAATGCTAACTAAGGCTTTTAGCAGAGACTGTATGGCCTGGTTTTCAGAACTGGCAGCCTCTCAAAACATAAAAACCAGACTCTTAGGGGAAGAATTTAAAGGGTGTTGTAAGTTCGGGTAAAGATATATTTTGATACAGAAGATAGCTATTTTTAGTCACCTAAGATGAATCTTATTTATTCTGTGGTCCAGCCTAGCTTGGCTTCTTAAGGTTTAGGGAGGTGAGATGGGGAAATATCTTAAGAGAAAGAAATTGTACAACCAGGATTGGGTCCTGTCCTTGGGCCTTGTGTCTTCTCTTGTGTCTGTGAGATACAGGAGAATACAAAGGACAGCTCAGAGAATATTCAAGTGTCACTTGATCTGTCCCAGCAGCTGGGGACAGGATCTTGTTAAGATTTAAATTCTAAAGAATGTTTTTTGCTTTCACTTTAAAATCCTGGTCAGCATATTTTCCTCCTCAGTCACCAGTCCCAGTCTTCATGAGAAGTGAGCTGAAGTCTGATGGACCAGATTGTGCAAGTGGATCCTTCACACTGGGATAGAAAATGAAAAAGTAGCAAATACTAAAGAGTACATTTATGTATATAGCTAAATTGCACTTCTCTTGGTGAGCTCATCTTGGTTTTAAGATGCTTAGCTGTTTCTTTCATTGTGCCTACCAGATCTTCAGCTTTGTAAAAGTTCAAAGCATGAATTTATATGTAGTTTGAAAAGTGAGAATATTAAGAAATGTAGTAATAGAGTATTTTACAGTACATAAAAACATTGCTCAGGAATAGTCTAAGAAATATTTTTAGTGGTTTTTTTCCTCGTCTACTGGAGACCAAATGTGAAATTTTGAATTGGTAAAGGAAACGAATGTAATAGACAGTATTACATTTCCAGCATCAATATTTGTAAAGTTACACTTAATATGAATTGTAGTTGCATGTACATTCAGCTCTATGCAATTCAAGCGAAACTGAATCTGAGATGCTCAAAGACCAGAGGAGCTGGCTGTGTCAGAGGTGTGGTGGCACTCAGGATGGCACTGAACACCAGCAGCTGCAGGGGACCAGCACATCCCAGTGTTGCTGTTCCACCCTATGGTTTTGGTCCAGCTTCATTTATTTCAGCCTTTTTAGATGAAAGATTCCTGTACCCAGTGCTAGTATTTCAAGCTCTGGCCAAATTCTACAAGCTTGCCTTAGCCAAGTTTTCCTAATTCACATGAACAGTAGTAAAAAATAGGAGAGCTGCTTTGCCAAAAATCAGGATTTTAATGCACTGCTCTAGTTCACAGTTACAAGCACCAAACCTGAGGTGAGCAGGATCCAGACATTAATCAGAATAGCAGTTTTTAGAAAGAAATTCTGTTAAGATATAGAAAATAATTTAGCATGTTATTATAGCATTGAATATTGCTGGATGCTAAATTTTCTAAATTGAAGCTTTCCTGGGTTGTAAGGAGGGCATGTAGATACAGGCACATTTTGCATGATCACTTCTTTAAGAATAAATAAACCCCATTTCAATCAGCTGTGACCAGAGCAAGGGCACTGGCATTGGCACTGGGAAAAGTATTTTGTCACAGAGGCAGGAAAATTTTAATGTCGTGTTTGTCACCTTATGGACACCAGTCTGTCGTTGAAGACTAAAAAGTGAAGTAGGTGGAGGTGGTGATGCCACTTTAAAGAAGTCTGGAAACTTGTTCATCACTGGGCTCTGTGTGGGATCTGGCCAAGTAAGTTTGTCTCACATGCTAATCACACCAGTCAAACCTGTGGCATTGATTTGATACTTGTGACACGCTTTGTTCACACACACAAACAGAAATTCTGTGTTTGCCTCAACAAACAGCTCTTGGCCTGAGCAGGGCTGGGTTTTATCCTGTTTCCATTTTAACTTCACCACGTTCTGGGCCTACAGATGAAAAGAGTTCCTTTTATGAACAGGACTGTGGTTTATATTTCTTTCATTTCCTATTGCTGGGTATTATCTGCTGAAAAGAGCAGAAAAATTTATTCCATCAAACACATTCAGTTTAAAATTAATTACTTAAGAAACTTCCACAACACCATGTTTATATGGCTATTAGCCTTTTTTAAAAAGGTTTAGCAATATGTTCATGTGGATCTAAGCCTAGCACTGGTGATGCTTCTTGAAGAACAGATTACTGTGATGTGAGATATTTTAACAGAGTGATTTTTTTTTTTTTTTTGCTAGAGAATGTAAAGGTTTAGTGTTCTGCAGTATTACCTACAGAACAAATATGCTCAGGTTGTATTTTAAATAAACAGCCAGACTCTGCTTCAGTTGCATGAGTATAAACTTTGAACAACTCAGTTATTTTCAATGAAATGACCCTGTTAGAAGATGTAAAGAAACAGAATTTCACTCCAATATGTATAAACTGTTGTCCTCAGTAATGCTAATGTATTTTTTGTGCATCACATGAAAAAAATACAGCAATACTGTTTTTCTCTTGCCACGTTTCGTTTTTCTCCATTGCTTACATCTCATCCTGAGGGCAGTAACATTTTCCCACCTGGTTCTCAGTTGGAACCAGCAGGATAATGCTGCAGGGAGGTGGTGCTGATTCCATCAAACTGCCCTGCTTGATTCCAGCCTCTGAGACCTGCCCTCGTCCTGTTCGTGTCCTTTCTGTGTTTATTCATTGTTCTTTCAGGTAACTTTTACCTTGTGTTTGCTATTTAAAAGGATCTTGTTAGAATTCAGAGAGAATTTTGACAGTTTTTTCAGCCAGTATGTGCTTTTTTGGAGCTGATACTTTGAATTTCTACAGTATGAAATTGCCTAGAATGTACTGGGTTTTGCCTTATTTTAAAGGTATTGAGCCTTTGTTGCTCCCATTGCATTAGTAGTTTTTCATCTGAAAAATAAACAGACCACGCTGGAAGGACTGAACTTGATTTACTGAGGATTTGCAGACCAGCTTTTGATGTTGGTATTCATGTATTCTTATTTATTTGAAATTTTTGTGGATATTTTTGCTAGTAGTTCTATTGGAAAAGTGATCTTGTCATTCAAAGGTACCGTATATTTGCTACAATAAAAGTGAGGTACTGCTCTGTTTGTTGCCGAGTTGTATTTTTTTTCTCAACATGGCACCACTGAATTTTCTTGGAGAAGATCCCAATCTTGCGGTGTCGAGTGGGGAGGGTGGCTGAGCACATCCCGGCTCCTGCTGGCCAAGGGAAGCCATAAAAATACGGAATTTAACGGCGGCTTCGGGCAATTCCATCCGGGATCCCGGGTGCGGGAAAACACGGACTGGAC